AAAAAAAAAAAAAAAAAAAAAAAAAAAAAAAAAAAGCAGAAAGTGATATCATGTATCCAAGACAAAGGGGCATAACCTAAAAATTCAGAATGTTACACTTTGTGAATTCTTCAAAGAAAGACAAATTTTGTTGCATTTTGAAGTACAATTCCATTTTTTTTTTTTTTTTTTTGGGTGGAAGGCTCATATAGGCATCTGACCCTTGACTTTGGTGCTATAAGCACCAAGCTCTCCCAAGTGAACTAACCAGGCAGCCCTAAAATTCCATTTTTATCAAGTGGGGAAAGGTTCTAGGTCACCCCAAAACTCTGTAGCAAGTCATTAGCAAAGTTCTTCCTTATATCAAAAGAGCACTATATGGACCACTCTATATATGACGTATACAAACACAATGAAAACTGAACACTGTCTAGTCCCCTACTGGACATAGTACACATGCAGAAAAAAGAGTATGAGCACTCTCAAAATATCAATGTCAACATCTAAGTTCAAAATGGTGTACTAGTGACAAGGCCATAATAGATCTTACAATAACTTTAACAGGGCTCTCAAGGATTTTTGTTTTAATACAGTTATGAATCCATGCCAAAAGTTGAGAGCTATAGAATTCAATAAACAGTAAAGTGAAACACACCTAAAATCTTAATTGAAACACTGGGGTTAGGACCTGGATCTTAATAAACAAAGCCTCCAGAGTGCTGGGGATTGTGTCCTCCAATACCAGCACAGGAAGACCCAAGGAAAGTCACAAAACACAAAAATTACCTTATGATAAGAGCTGTTGACTGTGTACTTACTAGTTTCTTTATTCAAATTGTCAAATAAACAAACAGAAAAATAGCAAAATCCTGAAGTAGTTTTGTCTATTTGGGAAGAACACATGCTTACCTTGTTACAAAGCCAATCTTCAAACTTACGTCTGGGATTGCTATAATGAGCTGCAATGTGCTTTCCTTGAATCACCAACTTTTTCTGTAAGAAAAGAAGTAATTAATTATTTCCATTGTGAGGAACATGTGTCCATTTTCCCAGGGCAGAGCACACTTCGGAAAAATCAGTGCTCTGGAATTAAATGGACAACATACGGGGAGGACCAACCACCGCCACCTATACTCTGCCCATCCAATCCTTCAGACAGGCAGTAAGAGAATGGGATGTGGAGTAAAGGTACACGGAGCCAGGGAGTGCTGAGAAAGCTGTCAAACACTAAACGCTGACATGCACCAGGCCGTGTCTCCAGCAGAGACAGAAGTCCTAACATTCAGCATTGACAGGCTGCCTGAGAGTGAGAGTCTATTTCAAAAAGCAGAAGACACAATGCTCCCAGTTCTGAGATTGTCTCCTACTTTAGCCCTTAGCATGGTGTCCTTGGGCTTTGCTTCACTTTTTCCCCAGTCTCCCATCCTTATGCCAAGTACAACTCTTTATATTCCCCCTTCCCCCAACTCCTGCTTCAGGATGTGTCCTTTGAGGGGTGGGAGAGAGGAAGGGAAATCATTTTTTAAAGGGAATCTGGTTACAACTCTTTTTCAGGAGGGACTATCCTGAATGCCACCAACTCTAAAACAGCTAGATGAGATATCTTCCTGTCAAATGCAACCATGTAATGTCTTAGGTGACACAGGTATCCTTCACTGAAATGAATGGTACTCTCTTCAAGATGAGTAACCAGGAGGCCAATGAAGTTTCTTCAGAGGGGGGGCAGGAAAAGTTCATAAATGCATACACCACCTCGTCTTTCAAGTCAACCATGTAACTAAAAGGGACTGAGCTTTTAACTCTGAGCTGAATCAGTCTAGCCAAGAGTATACCTAGCACTTGCCCCAAAGAGCCTTCATTTAACAGGAGCAACTTTTCTTTTTTCTTTTTTTGTGGGGGAAGGGTGAGTGGGGGGTGGATGTGGGTTTGGTCTGACACTATCAGAACAGATTTAAGTAGGAGGTTAGATATCCAGATTTTAAAAAGGAGTCTAACCCCTCTAAATATATATACTGTTTAACAATTTGGTTTTTGCAAATCCTGGAAGATTTAAGACATGCTGTGAATTTTGTCTCTGCAATATCTAAAGGCAAGACTGCACGTATGGCCAAGAGGGAAAGAGCTGAAGGCCATCCACTCACTGTGGTTTACAGAAGCAAAAATAAAGAAGCTGGGAGATATGTCAACAGATCATCCCATTAGGAGGGATGTGTGCTGGGGGAGATTCCAAACTACCACTGAGTCCCTAATCCTACTGGCCTTTTACTTCTGGAGTGAATTTGAACTGTAACGAAGTATTACACGTTAACATGGCTTTGTATACATTAAAATTGTGTGGACTTTTAAATGTCTTATACATTTAAATTTCTTAGGAGTTTTAAACTCCCAGGTTAGTCATTCTGACACACTCACTGCATCGAAAGATGCTGTCGTGTCAAGAAAGCAGACTTACGTGAAGCTTATGTTCTGGATTTACTAGGATGGTATCCATGATATGAAATGAATGAAGCTCTATTTTTATAAGATCAGGTTGTGACTTCTGGGTTAAGAAAATGAGAGGCTTAAAAATCTTAACAAACCAGCCAATCAAAGTGATACCCTCATTAGTGAGTCTTGTTATAAACAGCAATATTACCAAGCAAAGAATGTCTTATTCATGAGCAACTCAAACCATAAAATGCTGCAGAAAAGCAACATAATGAGTCAAACTTTCCAGAATGCACTTGGTTAAAGGAATTCAATATTGTGCTTTGGAGTACTTCCAAAAAATGTTATTTAAGTGCCAAGCACTGAATATTACCTTGATGAACTGAAGAATACTTCAGTTAATGCTACATCAAAGAACCATCAATAATTTGCTTTGAAAAGACCATAAAAAGGCATTCTCAGAGAAATTAGAATGTTAATGCCACTCTAACTAGATTAGACAGCAGCACGACACTGCTCCCAGACTAATCTCATCAGACTTATTATTCATAAATTCCACTAGGTCTTTAAATAGTCCCTGAAGACCCATCTGAGCAGTTAGGCCTCCATGAGGCTTGTGGTCTCCAGGCAGAAATAAGGAATTACTTATAAAAATGCCAACCACAGACTCCCATAATGTTCTCTTCTCTGTCAAATGGAGAGTTTGATATTCTAAGCTTACTCTCAATGGACATAATGAATAGGAACACAATCAGGTAGGGAAAAGGGAAATATCAAGATGTTTTGGTAATTATCGAACAGGTACTCAGTGGTTAACAAAGCCCTGCTAGGTAGCCATGTTTAAAGGTAGAGCAAATTCTGCAGCACAGTCCTTGGTACAATATTTATTCTAGTAATGTCAATTTTAATATATACAAAGCTTTTTTTAAAAAGTCACTCCTTTGGAACAAACCACTCCTTTAACCTTTTTTTTTTTAATTGTACAGACTTGTTCCATTTTCATGAATATCTAGACTTGGTGAGTGAAGCAACCTGATTGGCTTCCATCCAGCTGGTAGCATCTTGCAAGTGATAAAACTCCACGAAGGCGAAACCACGGCTTACACCTAGAGACAGCATTCAGATATAGACGGGATACTCGTGTTAGTCAGTTCCTTTATAACAGGTGAATCTCTCTCCCACTGCTTCAACACTGCGTGACAAAGCCAATTGGGAAGCAGCTTTACAAATGTGACTTGACTTGGGGATCTTCTTGATACTTTGCCATGGCAAGGAACAAGCCGCTTGAACTAAATGCCACTCGATTTGATTCCACGCTTAAAGTAACCATGCAACCGACTACAAATAGTCAAACAAGGAGTTTATACATCACTACTTACCGAAGGAAAAAAAAGCCCCTAAAAACAAAGTTTTAAAAAAGTTGCTCAGATGCTAACATCATTTCAAAGAGTCACATTCCTTAGCCATGGCAAACCTTTCATTCTGAATTCATGTGCTTGAAGACTGGGGGTATCAGGATGTTCTTTAGGGACTGAGGTGGGAATGGGGAAAAGAACCAGAACAGCAGGAACTAAGCAAGCTCTCACCTGTTTTCCTCTTCATCAGTCTCACATCCGCAAGCTGAGGGCCTTCAAAGGACTCCATCATTTCTCGAATCTGCATAGGGTTTTACACATTTACAGTTAAAAATTTTTAGTTGCATACTATTCTAACAAAAGAAAGTTTAAGGACTAGGAATTACATCAACTGTTTAGCCAAGCTTTTAATTTCTATTGCCAAAATGCAATTATCCTAAAAGGCATAAAGAAGGAAGGAAAACTTCTCACAGAACTTCACGTGTTATAAAAGGCTTGAAGGCATTCTTTATATGCTGACAGGGAATTTCCCTCAGGTGCAAATATACACCCTTGCTCATGGTACAATGTCCCTCAAGCCTCTCTCCTTTAGTGTAATCTCATTGTTCTTTATTCTAAAGAACCCAGACAGAAAATGAAATTTAACAGAGGAAGAGGATGTGTCACTGTCTTCTGAAGTACAACTGATCAAGAATCACTAGCGAGGGCTGGCCGGTTAGCTCAGTTGGAGCTTGGTGCACCAACGTTGGGAGTTCGGATCCCCATACTGGCCAGCCATCAAAAAAAAAAAAAAAAAAAAAAAAAAAAAAAAAAAAAGCCCCAAAATGAGAGGCCCCTTCAAGATAAACATTTTCAGCACAGCATCCTAAAAAGAAATAATTCTTGGGCCGACCCCGTGGCGCACTCGGGAGAGTGCGGCGCTGGGAGCGCAGCGTCGCTCCCGCCACAGGTTTGGATCCTATATAGGAATCGCCAGTGCACTCACTGGCTGAGCGCGGTGCGGGCGACACCACACCAAGGGTTGCGATCCCCTTACTGGTCACGAAAATGACAAAAAATAAATAAATAAATAAAAAATAATTCTCTTATATTTACATTAACGGTGAAAATTAACAAAGTTCATAACATTCTTAGGCTCCTAACAAAGCAAAATAAACATTAATTGGGTCTAAAAGAACGTATTCTGGCCAGGAACTTTGTTCTGGATATCAGACCAAGTCCTCACTGCAAAGGCAATGATAAAAAATATACCAGTTTCTTCCTCAATCATAGCAGGCAGCAATATTCCCAGGAAAAAGATGGCCAAATTTGCAAATCCAGATTCTTAATAGTCCCTACTTTCCACAGTTAGGTGCGAAGGCTGCAAGACTATATACAGTAAATCCTCATTATTCTTGGGTCCTGTATTTGTGAATTCACCACTCAGTAAACTTTATAAACCCCAAACCAATATTGTAAGCACTTTCACAGTCATTCTTGGACATGTACAGCATAGTAAAAAATTTGATTTGCCCAAACCCACATGTTCCCAGAAAAGACCTAACAAGGTGATGCTTGGCCTTGTTTGAGCTTTCATACTGTAAACAACTGTCTAGTGCCATGCTTTCCACATTTTTGTAGGGTTTTTTTTTTGTGTGATTTCACTGTTTAAAATGGATCCCCAGGGCCGGCCCATGGCTCACTCGGGAGTGTGTGGTGCTGATAACACCAAGGCCATGGGTTCAGATCCCATATAGGGATGGCCAGTTAGCTCACTGGGTGAGCATGGTGCTGACACCACCAAGTCAAGGGTTAAGATCCCCTTACCGGTCATCTTTAAAAAAATAAATAAATAAAATGGATCCCCAAGCACAGCGCTGAAGTGCTGCCTAGTGTTCCTAAGCACAAGAGAAAATATGTGTTAGATAAACTTCATTAAGGCATGACTTATAGTGCTGTTGGCTGTGAGTTCAATGTTAATGAATCAACAATATATATTAAATGAGGCATCTTTAAACACAAACACACATAAAACAAGGTCATGTATTGACCAGCTGATGAAAATGTTGTGAGCACTGGCCCACGGGAACCTAACCCTGTATTCCCCCTAGGAGCAATGGTTCAGGATTCATAGTGACTTTATGGAACATAACTACCAAAAAGGAGAATCTATTTTCTCACACAAAAGTGCTGAACCTGGCCCCACCATGAGACTCAGGTTCATACTTAGTAACATAGTAAGTAAAAAGAATTAGTCACTAGAGTAATTAAAGATAGTTGCTATAAAAGTAGTGATACAATAACATACATAGTAACATAGTAACTAGAGATAGTTATGCTAAGAGTTTACATGGGGGATAAACTAAAAAGGGAAACAGAGTAGGAAAGATGATATACTAAAGTTCAGGAGAAGATTAAATAGTATAATTTTTAAATGTTTTATTTATTTACTTATTTTGGGGGATAAAATATAACTGAAGATCATTTATTTATTTTTCACTAAGACTTTACATCTTCAGGACTTAACTAAAATGTGTCACTACCCCCTAACTTTATCATGAAAAAGAGTTACTATAGTGAATGTTATAAGCAGATATGAACAGTTTGGAGGACTGGAACCAACACTGGCAAAGAACAACTTCCACCTAAATCGTCATAAAAATGTTTAAGTATTACTGGCCAGTCTGGGGGGGGGGGGGGGGGAA